GATTTCATTAGAAATGCGCATTGGATTCTGGGAGAACCAATGTTTATCAACACAAATGTCGCACATGCGCGGCGCGACGACTACCGCCCTTTAAAAACAAACGTGTTTGGTTGAATTATGAAGCGGTGATATGTTACCAGTTGAAAAAGGACGAGATACGACTGAATTATTATCTCACTTCAGTATGTAAAAATCAAGAAGTTGAACACGGGGAACAAGTATTGTTCAAATCACAGTCCCTCTAGAGGGACTGTGTTCAAATGCATAAAATAAACCAATAAATGTCGAAACAATTGTACATATAAAAAGCAGAGAAAACGTAATAACATTCCTTCTGACAAAGACAATATTGTCTTTGGTTATGTACAGAAGACAGGTTTGAACATTTTACTGATTAGAAAACGGAAATACACCTAAGCTATTAGAACACGGAACACTGAATAATGTTCAGTTGATTTGTATCGTCAGACGATACGACGGCAACGCCTATTATATGTAGGGGGAGGTCATGTTATTCAAGAGGGATACTCATTCTGAAAATAATATATTCAAAGCTTTGTTTTGTGTTCGCATTCTCAATGAGTGATGATATATTTTTGTAGAAAATATTATATGTTTTTTTTTTTCAACACATAGTCCATATTGCATATTTGATTTATACCCACGACTGGAAATGTCGTTTTAAGCCCCGCCTTTAATTGTAATAGTATGCTAATTTATTCGTGATTGACAACCCATTATTTGCGAGCGTGTATCACCATACAAATCCCTGACACAGTTTCTACGAGTCACAGCGCCTCGAATTCCGCCGAAATCCGGGAATTTCATGTGATATTGCTGTGATCAGAGTAATTTTGTGTATAGAGAGGACGTGAAAGGTAGCATAAAGGCGGATTTTACTCCATAATTGGCTGCTGAAAGGTGAGTATGCGACAATAGACTGCTTCCTCGGTTGAAACAGAGCCAGAGACTAGTGTACACAATGTTTGACTCACAGAACTTATAACTATTTTCGTTACGTATTGGAGATAATTGTGAGTAAAGTAAAGCTCGACAAGCCGTTCTGCTGGGTAATGGAGCTGTATGGTTTCATGTTTTTTTGTTCATTAATTTTATCGTTGGCGACGCGTGCAAAGAGGCTATCGTCGTCATCGACCCTCTCCAGCGTCTCGCTATCCGTGCAGTTGGGTACTGTAATGGCTGTCCTCTTTTCGGCTGTGTGTTGACCTTTGTAGATCTCTGCCCGTTGAACTTAAACATCTACTCACCTCGCTATAGTTGGTCTTAGTAATCTGTAAAATGAAACAATACATCATTTAATTTTCTTGTTAGAAACTTCAACTGTATTAAAAGTTCGACATTTTATATTCTGTTCATATGTTGCTGGACGCACTAAATACCCGCGAAAAACTTAATTGTCAGCAAATTTCTGATGCGAAAATGAAACATTTTAGTTAATTTGCGCTATGAAATATTAAACTCCTACCATTTTGAACTGTCGAAGGATATTGTTCTACATTTACAGAACAGAAAATCCAATAATTTCCAGCTTTGTGCTGTGCTTGAAATTCTACGTACGTCAACATTCCGGTCAAACGAGCAATAAGCATTCGTTTTGTCTGTATCAAAATCGACAGTAATGTGTTGTAGATCCAGTAAAAGCTACTGGCTAAAACTGGACCAGTATGTAAATAACGTTAATTAAAAAGCTGCAAATATACCATGTGTTTATAAATTTAATTTCATATTATATTAATTTCAGACTTCAACCTTGTTTGTATGGTTACGGATATTTGAATGACCCAGTAATGTATACAATATTCGGTTTTTGGTTTATGTGCGTTTCTATTTGAGTTTTGCTGCGACTAGGGGAGGGGGGGATACAGTATTTCAAAAATGAAATTCAACCCCATAATGAAATTATATTTTCAAAAGTTAGTCTTCCTAGCCTGCCTTACCTACATGCCATTGCTAGTTTTATCTTTCTTGAAGAATTGGGTCATTTATTGATCTTGTGTTTTATTTATTAAGTCTTATGTGTACTATATATTGTTAGCAGCTGATTGTTTATTCGATTGAGACAATTTAACACCCTGCCAAATTCACACAATTTGTGTTTTCATTTTAATGAACGACATTTTTTCTACCATGCTCGATTTAATTCTCTCTGAAATGAATATCATTCATGAATCGAAACATTTCAGTTGCATCGAATTGATTTGATGAGATTCTGTTTAGATACATTTTTGAGTAATGGGGTAGTATCCAAAATAAATTAAAGTAAAACAACAAAGTAATATGTTTATAAATATATATTTTTTGTTTAGTATCGGTACTCTAGGCCACTGTGGTAACCTATGGGGGACATTGTGAATTTCAGAATTCAATTGACATATCTGAGTACTTCAAATTAGGTTCCCTAAATTTCTGATTCTGAATGACAAATTATTTTTTTCTAACAATACAGATATGATGTAAGGGTAGGGGTTGTTATTTGTCAGCATATTATAATGAACGATTGGTTTCAACAATGAGGATCGTCAAATTGAATATAAAATTAATATTGCTATGGAAAACTGGACATTTATTTTCATCGAAAACAGCATTTTGGTGTAATTTCTTAACACATTTCTGCTGATGTTGTTTTTTTCCCATTCATTTTTGGCTACTAATGAAGACATGCTGCAGGCAATAAATTCAACACATCGGATGTGTTAATTAATTTAGATAATTTATTTTCACTGATTTTCATTCAAAGTTGCTTTGAAAATATACAAAAAAGAATGTATTTATTCTCTTTTACCGGTATTAAAAAAAGTGAATTTACATGGCACCATTTTGCCTTTGTTGTTTTTCATTGTCAAGGCTGATTAGAATACAGTTTTTAATTAGGTTGACCCTTAGAAATGACATGCATGCATGTACTATGCACCATAAACCTTGGCCACAATGGCTGAAAAGGTTTCTCTTTTTTTTTTCCTTTGTATGCAAATTATTGACATCAGCTGATGTTTTACATGTCTGATTCAAATGAGAAATACACTTATGCAAGGACTAAAAACCTGAGTCATTGTCTATACTTAAGTTTTGTCATTTGTATGGTATGCACCTTTGTATTGTGACCTGTTTTGGAGAAAAGAATAATAAACCTATTTTGTGTGTTGGTGTTAAAAATAAATAGTTTCTTTGTCTGATCCATCCACCCCTCACACTGCTATATTCTTTATTCACATTCTAAGTGCCCATCTCACCTTCCTATATTTTGTCTTATTTTCGTTTTACTCAGTGAACCGATGTGCTAGGATTACTGTGAAATAATTTATTACTTGAATTAATTTTCGCTGAAAAGACTTTTTGGGTATTTTGTATAGACTTTATTTTCACTGATTTTTGGTGAGTTGAATGTAAAATATAGGAAAATTGGTATATTCGTAATTAATAGAAATGTAATTATTATTCTAATTGTTTAACTATTTTAGCAGTCGCGAGCTGGTAAGCATCAGACTAACATGACAGTTTGAATTTTATGTCATCATGAAGCTCAATGATGTCATTAAGAGTTGAAAAAAAAGAAGAAGATACTTTGTGCCTGCTTTGTTGAATTTATGCAACTGCTTTTGGACAAGGCCACATTATGGTGTTTTTAACTTCTTTTGTCTCACTCTACCTGAATGGAATTCTTTGCATTGCTCATGTTTTGTATTGTTCTGTATTTTACACCTGTGTTAGAATTAATGGGAGTCTCTACCTACACTATACATGTATTGTACATGGTACTGATGGTAACTTAGACGTATACAAACTATCAAGGTTGTGCCGTTTATATATATTTCTTTTATTCCTCCCAGGTCCATCTGAATAAAAAAAATAGCTGGCATGCCGAAATGTAAATTGCTCTGTTATGGTGGTGCTATTTATTTGGTCCATGAATCTATCTACTAGTACACGTTGAAAGGTGTTATCAATTGTATAGGACTTCCTTCGTGTATGGTGTCAATTTCCGAGCAAGCAGTGACATAGTGCAAAAACACACCAAACCCAGTGGTGGCAAGATTGGATGTGACCCAGACTGGTTGTCAAGAGAAGTTTTTTTTTAATCATTTGGTGCTCATTTGGCAAAGGATTGTTGTAGGCTTCCTTTGCTTTTCATCTACCCTGAGCAGTGATTTCAGGGAATGCAGTTGTTCAACATGAAGAAGACCAGATTTACTTGGATTTGTTTGCTTGTGTTCCTTCTATACTTTATTGGTATTTCGACAGGACTTAAGTTCCTAGGGAGTTACAACTGCTATGCACGCTATGACATGTGGAACGCTACCACCAATGGGTCCCTCAGTTTCCAGTTCAGAACGACAAACAAGGAAGGTCTACTTGCTTATATGGATGATGGGGGACAGTATGACTTTTTAGAGCTTAAAATCACCAAAGGCCATGTGAGGCTTCGGTTTCGTATTGGTGACAGTGCACAGACTATCATGTTAGGAGCCGAGTTGAATGATGATAATTGGCACACAGTGGAAGTGATCCGAGACTTCCAGAAAACTATGCTGACAGTTGATTCTTCTACAAAATCAGGCTCTTCCAGTGACAAAGATGAAAGCACACTGACGAGTAAAAGTGATCTGTTTTTTGGTGGAATTTTACGAGATAAGCTCCTGACATCGCTTGCATTGCCATCAGTTATGTTCGATACACGTTTTGTAGGCCACATTCGGAATATCCGATATGGATTAGGAAGGGGGCGATGGAGAAATCCTGAATTAATTTCATCAGAGGGCGTGGAGCAGCATTCCTCGGATGTGTGCTCAGGAAAAGATTCAAATCCATGTTTACATGACGGAGTTTGCAGTAGTAGTGATTCTGGTGCAACCTGCGATTGCAAGGGAACTGGATACGAAGGTGAATTCTGCAATGTCGGTAAGTACACTTTGGAGCAATGTTCTAAAATTGATCAGTGTTGATGAAAAATCAATACTAATTCTCCGGTGATGTGATTTGTTTTAACCTTGTCCTGTCTTCACCCATGCCTAACAACTGCACTGCATCCTAGTAATGTTTCCATGGTTTTCACTTTCATCATATTGGTTCAGGTATCTTGTATAGGAAATCAGCATCAATTCAACTCTTGCCATCTTGACAGTTTTGCTGACATTTCATTTAAATGGTTATTTGTTTGCAATAAAAACGTGCATGTTGACAGCCAATCAGAAAGTCATTGCAATCAGTGTGATAACTAGATAGCATAGCTAGTTGATATCTAATAACGGGGTTCTCTTGTCTGCCTGAATTCCAACCATAGCTGGACAATTGATCTTCACAATTCACCTCTAATATTGTGTAGATAAACCATCTTGAAATACTAAAGGTTTGTTCCCTTGTTCAGGAAATAGGAAGTATTTTTGTAGACTTGAATCAGGTTATTATTTTATGTGGGGGGAGGGGTGCTTCTTATCAGTTGACCTCATTGTAATGTCAGGAGCAGCTGGAACAAATGATAAAAAAAACGCTATTTTTATTAAATCATCATATCCGCTGCATTAGCCATTTGACGTGTTAGTAAATGTTGTTGCCTGAAAAGAAACTGAAATAATGAACATGATATTGATTGATCAGGTATAGGCTTACATGCATTCGATTGTTTTAGTACAAGCATTCTGGGAGATATATTCCAGATCCAATCTCAAAATTTGTGGTTCCAGAATTCGCTTTTGGATACTAGAAAACTAATATTAATGTGAACTTGTACTGAGTTGATACTGATTCTAGATGAGGGTTGATAATTATGCTAAATCATGTCCCAAGAAAAAAAAATGTGTACATGACAAAACTTACATTGGTACATTCAAATATGGAACCCTCGTAGTTGCATTAATTTGGGTGTTGATACTGATTACCTGGAGTGCTAATGTAACATTATACATATTTATATTTCATTTAAAGAATAAAAAAAAAAAACATTAGTGGAGCATGCAGTTGTGTGGCTTCCTCTTCTTGATCACTCTTCCATACTAATGTTTATTTGCACTGACGCCCTACACAATGTTTTGTGTAGTGAGGACCATGGTTTTATTCAGAAATGATCCAATGCTATATACATGACGTGTGCTTATGATCCAAACTATTGGATAATCCTGTTCCACTACTGTGAAATACTTTATTTGGAATTAATTTTTGCTGAAGGAATGACTGTCTGTGAAAATAAAATCCAGCCAATATACCTTTTCCCTATATTTTACATTCAACTTGTCAAAAATCAGTGAAAATAAATTCCATACAAAACACCCAAAAATTCTTTTCAGTGAAAATTAATTCCAGCTAAAATAAAATATTTTACAGTATTACAACTGCATTTCTTGTTCAAAAGACAGACTGAAATGTTAATGTAATGTAGCTGTCTTTGTGAATTAAAGGGACACATGCATGTTGTGTTCTTTTAAATGGTCGGGACAAAGCACATTTTCCTTGAGATTGGTAGCCAACAAAGACATGACAAACTGGGACATAATTTTAAAAGTACTTATTCAGGAGGACAGAGTACTAACCCAAGGACAAATAACATTGCTAAAGAAGGTGGAATGGAGGAATTACGACTTTATCATCAGCTGCTACACACATGTTTTCTGAAGTTTTAGTCCAGAAAAATCTGTGTAAACCGAACCATATCAGCTGGAATGCTATTATTCAATGACAAAGGAACACCTTTTCAGGTTCCTGCTGCTTCTCCATAGGCTTTCTAATCTCCGTAAACCAAAGATTTCTGTAAACAGAACAATTTTCTCTCTCCTTTAGTGTTCGGTTTAGACTGGTTTTACTGTACAGTGTATATACCATCCAACATGAGAATAGTGTGAAGGTAGCTGTGTTTGGAATGGGGAGGGGGGTGTTCAAGCAGAATAAACCATAAATGCCTGGATGAAGTCCATATGTGGTACATTTTATCTTGCTTTGTGATAGCACAAGCAATTTCGTATGAAAACATTACTAAAAACTGTACAACGTCAAGTTCTTTTTTACATTACTTCTGTGATTTCACTTGTAATTTGTTTGAGACAATTCCAAGAACTATATTTTAATAGTTAATGGTATTAGTATCACTACAATATATCAAATGAAATACTAGTGACATTTAAGTTCATGAACTTCAAATATTTATAAATACATACCAACCCATAACTGGTTTGTTATGTATTTACTCCATGAATTATTTGAAACATTTCAAATAGAAACAAATTAAATTGGATACTGTGGTATAGATATTTGTCTATTAGTTTAAAATAATCATTATAAATTTAGTCTTTAGAACCAATTGTCATGTCATATGTATGCCACATGGACAGTATGTATGTTGTCATTCTCATTGTTAGTTTGTTCTTGTTAAGATGTCCTTGTGTACATGCACATCACCCTGACATACTAACACATTGTTTTTACAGACTCCAACAAACTGCTCCCTTAAATAAATGCCCATCCACCCACTTAATTCTAATAATTTCAGGAAATCGTAAAATATTGTAGAGTATTATATATCTTTGTTTTTTTATATTTATATTGTAATTAAATGTCTATTAATTTTTTCTTCCATATTCATTTATTGTATTGTTAGTTTACTAAAGTTGCTTACAGCAGCTGATACTTGTCCACTCAACGCTACTGACTTACGTTTAGTCTGTTGCTGTGTTATTTACTCTAGTACGCTATGTTACATTGTCCTTTAAGTTACTTGTTCACATCTAATGTCCTAACCATACTCTGTAAGTCAAGTTCTTTGTTCCACTCATCTTGTTGAAATGTCTTTTCTTCTCTTTACATTTACCATTAAAGCTATGCTCTCATCATCTATGCTTTCTGAAGAAGGTAGGTTGAAGCTGGTGGCGGTTGCCAACTGCTAGTGGTGGAGGTGGTGGTGACTGCTACGGTGCTACCGGTGGGGGCAGTGGCTAGCTACTAGTGGTGGGTTGGTGGCTCGTTGCTCCTGATGGCAATGCATGATGCTTCACACATTAGTTGCTTGGATCCCCAGGAAGACAAATGTACATGTTTTGTATCACTGCTAAAAAAAGTATTCTTTTTATTAATCACACAAGTTTACCGTAGGTATTGCGGTAATCCCAACTTTAAATTTCTGTACTAAATTTTTCACATTTTCCCTCAAGTTCACAATAAAAATAATCATTACTGCTAGGGCTATGCAATGTATTACCTCTAAAAAATATGGCCAAATTGGGTTTTTGAGTTAACTGTGCATGCCATATGCATAGAGATATCCGGCCCATGCAAAATTGTAATCTTTGCTGATTCACAGCAATCCCAGTGGGTCAAATTGACTTGAGGACACACAGGTTCTGATCAAGACGTTTCTATCTTAAGTTAGGCTGTGATTGAGACAAGGAACTAGTCACATAACATGTATTTGAACATGGCTACTTGTACTGAAAACAAAAACCTAATCTCGCCCACTTCTGTGTGTGGGTGGCAGATTTTGAGTCATAAATATTTCATGACCTGGCATTATCACTGCAAAATATGTGAAAAAAATATCTTGATTTCCAAGTAAAGGAAATCAAAAATATAATATACCTGAGTGCAATATAATTAAATTTCATATCATTTTGAGTTATTTTCCTACAGATGTTTTCTCGTGTATACTTCCTCAAAAATCAGTCAACAACAAAATCAGTTTAAAATACTCGACCATGACTAGCATTTCACTGAGCATTGTTGAGCTTCTTCGAATAGTTTTGACAATTTAGTTGGTTTCGTTGAATAAATGAGAAACACTACTTAAGGAAATCGTATCTGAACCTGGGTGTTTTTACCATTGTCTGGAAATAATCGCTCATCGTTTATAGTGCTTCAGTTTATTTTGGCGGCCTTTCAGGAAAACGTCACTTGTCATGCCCGGTTACACCTCAAAAGCAGCCGTTACCCTTTGCGATCAGTGTGCACTAAATGGCCTTTAAATGGATACGCCTGTTAACTGTCTTTTTTGAATATGATATTTTAGTTTTTATCATGTTGATTTTAAAAGCCAAATTTTCTTCAGAATTTTAAAAATGTCACAAGAGCCATTTTCAAGATAATTTTCCTACTGGTTTAGTTGACAAAGCAGAGAATTAATTGGATTGAATCACTTGGCTTTCGCTCAGTCGTAAGTCCTCAGAAGTTACAAGTATTTGCTGAGATATTTTTAGAGATTGAATTATTTGCACAACATGCAGGTAGAATATTTAATCAAATTGTACAAGCCAAAGGCCTTCTATTTCAGTATTTGGTGAGGCACTTGGTAAATCAGTCTAGCTGCTTGGTATAATCTTAGTCTTGGCTTTAGTTACAGGCTGTATTTTTTATCACTTTTATTAAAATTAAGCCTCACTGAAATGTTAAAATTTCAGGCCTGGGAAAATACTAGAGCAATTCCTAAATTCACTGTGCTTTTTACCACCATGAAAGTGCTTTCATAAATTTTTATGGCAGTGTGTTTTGTGTTGTACTGTTGAATAATTGGACACTGTTTTGGGTTGCATCAAAGTTGGCTACTGGAGAAGCATATTAACTATACAATCTAAATATCTCCCAAATAAGTCAGTTTTGTTGATTGAATTTTCACTTCATAAATTTTCGCTGCGTTAGTAGCAATCAGCTCTACCTCATTTTGACGGATATTAGATTTCAGTTCGTTGGGATACACTCTACATACTAATCAGAGAGTTACTAGTACATGTACTGGTCAGAAATTAGAATTTTAATTAAAAGAAATGAAAAGAGATAAAAATATACTATAAAATAGTTATTTGTATTTTACAATTAATAAAATAAATGACCTTTACCTGTTTTGAAATAGTAGACATGTGATTTAATGGTGAAGCTCACTCTATTCCAGTCGGAATTTTAAAATTGAGGCCATCATTACAAATTAAAGTAGTCTTGTTTAGATATATGCATGAAGAAAACTGAGATGCTTCTTCTGCAGTGCATTTGTCTTCTTGGGATACCAAATAAACATGCAGGCAAGCTGACTCGCAGGCACTCTCTTTACACATGCTTTTACTAATTCCTCTGTATTCTATGCATTGAAATATCACATTTATACTGCTGTCTTCATTGTTTTGTATTCACACACTTCTGTATTTTAACTTGTATCAATATTGTACATCACTCATATGTGTTGTGTAGTTATTTGTTTTGATGATGGTAATTTTACATTGTGTCAATATGTATTATATTTGCATGTCTACCAGCATCCCGTCCAATCCAAGAACCTTACGAATGCTAATCCAGCAGTCTAACTCACAATGATACAGTTGTGAGTAGCTTGGCTCACTAAAAAAAAACTGCCGACAACATGAATGCTGCTATCAGTATTCATTTAGTTATTACTTACCTAGTATTAAAAAAAAAATGCTTCTACTGGCCTTTTTATCAAGCCAATAACATTGCATTAGTAGAATGGCTGTGATTATACTGAGAGGAGATCAATGTACCCATGGGCCGCAAATGGATTAATAATCCGACTACGTTTATGTGTGTGTATAAAAAAAAAAAAAAACGACAACGTTCTTATCAAACCTATGTCAAGAATAAGTATATTTAACTGACGACATGTTACAAAACGCAATGAAGCCAATTTGTGTGTAATTTAGAGTTGAAATTTATATAATAAACTTGCACATTTTGGTAAGCTTAATTTCTAAAACTCCACTGTATGTGGCTCTTCATAAAAAAAATGTCCATTTCATTCTATTGATTTCCATGTTTTTATTTTTAATCGAAAATTACTTTTCTCCACCGCTTTTTTTCATCATACAACGTGAAATTATAAATGGCAAAATTTCCATATCTCTTAGGATAAATCAAAATATGAAAAATTTACATCATTATCATTCGCCATTCATCGATCAGCTCTTCTTCATAATTTTTTGCTGGCATTGCATGCATGCATGCTTGCATGGATTTAATGACATCAAATATACCTTGCAATCCTAAATTCATGTAATTTGCTTAGAATCTCACTGAATCAATTCCTTTCCAGCTTGCATATATAACTAATAAGAATGGAACGCATAAACAAAACAGTAATGGCTGCTTGTGCTATCTTCTCATCCTGCTTTGTTACTGACATGCCTTCATTTTTTTTCATTTCTCTCCATTCTCTGAAATTTCAACTTCATAGCCGCTTCAGTTGAGGACGAAGGTAGGTGTGGCTGCAAATAAACGTGGATTCTAACATTGTTGTTAAAAAGTGCTTACTAATAATTTGATAGTACCCTCCCGGTTGATATGTTAACTAACTCACCTTAACACTGTTGTATGTTGTAAGGGTAGGGGTATTAAGGAAATCAATGTCTATAAATTATATGTATCTTTATAAGCTGGTGAATATTTCAATCCTTTCAACCTCAATATACATTGGTATAGCCCTGCAGTGTATCTTCTGGTGTCAGAAAGGGCATTATACCATGTGGGATTGACGGGATTGAAATTGCACTGTATATAAACCCACCAATTTGCACTCAATTTGGTGATGGGTATTTTTCTGTACTACTCAGTGTCATAATATCATTTCTTCTGAAGAAACTGTATGTTAACTGTGTCTATGTGCTTATAATGAATCTATTGATGCTTTCACGTTGCTAGTGTTACACATACTTCATAACACTGTAGATTCTATAGAGTGAAATCTACACTCACTTTACCATAATGTACCATGTGTCATATAAATTTGTATTTTTTCTAAATTGATCTTGGTACTGACCTGCACTTGGGGGCTCAGCACTTATGTCCAAATGCACTGTAGATGTGCAAGCCGATACATTGTCACCTTAGCTACACAGCTGTCACGGAAACTCACAGCCACATAATCAGTGCTGTAAATAAGTGTTGAATCCATCGTGGCAGTTTCTCCACACTGGCCAGTTCAGTGAGATAGTTCACTGACTCTGGCTTACCTATGCAAACAATGTCTGATAATATTTGTCTATTGGTAACCAACAATAAAATGATAAACAATACTTTAATAATATTAGCACATGTTGTGCATCAAGAGGAAGGCAGCCTCTTGAGACATGTTCTCAGTTGAGTGCTATGTTTTTTCATATTATCCTCCTGTAAGGTAAGAAATGATGAAGGAAACAGTCTAGGTTTCAAAACACTTAATAAATAGAAGAAATTGCCCATATGGCAATGATCGTCTGCACCCTGAGATGAGTGCCACCTTGTTGGTTTTATACAGTGTTTTATTCTTAAATTTCTAACTCTGCAACTAGCTATTACATTACTGCCCCAGGCTCTCAAAAAGAACCTCTTGTGCGATGGTTTTCGTATTCTAATTTGTTTTATTATGAAACACCAGTCAGACTTGGTTGTATCAATTGTAAAGTGGGAGTTGATTAATGTTATTTTGTTCTCCTGTAATATGTGTAGGTATGTGCTCACAAGATTCTTATTTCATATTGTGCTTGTGGTATAATGTTTATTAATATATCTGCCTCTGGGTAATCAAATAAATTGCTATCCACAGAAGTCTTTTAATTGCAATAGTATATAAAATAAACTTGTCTTCTTTTCATTTATTAATCATTATAAACTATACAGTTTAATTTGCTGGATATTTTTTATTTTTAATCCCTCTGATGAGCACTTGTGTTATCTAATGTTACCATAGACCAAACAGTCTATAATATTACACTATGTATGTGTGAAATTTATTTGATCTTTAACGAAACAACAGAAATGTTTTATTTTCCTTGTGTGTGATTGCTAGTTGTATTAATTGTTTATTGATGGACTACTTGTCAATTCAGTCGTTGATAATTAGCAACCTAAATATAGGTACCGTGAGTACCCCATTTGACCCTAGTGTTTTGCACATGCCTATACTACTATTGTGCAGCTATGGTGTTGTATATTAATTTGTACCTGTGTGCACTGCTTAGAGTAGTAATACCTCCGGTCATGTAAAATAATTACCTCTGTGTTCACCGTGGTGCATTAGTGTTGTCAAAGCTTGGAGGCATTAGGTAAATTTACATGGGATGGGGTAAAGTCAAGTTGATCTTAAAATATTGTTGGCTTGTACATTGGTTAAAAGGTACAAAGGTATGGTTTGAAAGTACCGTATATTTTTTTTCTTCGCTATTTTATCGACTGATTCTTCATGTGCAAGTTGATCAATACAGATTCCACAGTGTATCTCCGTATACAGTGTCCACTGACCTCGAAATAAAAGGGGCTTACTTGCCTGTTGTCGAATAAATTTCACTGACTGGGTACAGATCACTGAAAAACATCCCAAATTAGGGACTACCTGAAGCCTATTGTGTGCAGAGGTGGCTGAATGATTCTTTCACAATGTGTGCATGAGCGGTTCATTGAAGTGGGTGTATAGTGACTTTTAATAACTAAGTGATCATTCGTTGTTTGATTTATTCGTTATAATATGTACTTTAAGAATGCTTGCTTAAAGTTATTAGGTTTCAGAGCTTGAATAAGTGAAAAAATGTCTTGAGTTCCGTCAAAAGTGTGACTGATGGTTACATGTCTACAATTGTATATACTTGGTTGTCTGTTTAAATTCTTGAACTACCCGGTAGTTTAAAAGGCTATATTTATCAAAATGGGAATATCTTGAAATGTTTAATTGATATTCATGACTTCATATAATGATGTTGCATCATATTCCCCACTACTAATTTAATCATTTAGTTATTGTTCTTATGGTAGGTCATTTTTTCGCCTAACAATAATAATGTTCACATGAAATCACATAAAAATGCTTCAAGCTGCCATTACTTTTATTTCAAGATGGCCGGCCGCCAGAGCCATGCATTGCTACAGGAAAATTGCCACTTTTTATTGATTACAGAATTGTGAAAAGTGTCTGAAATTCACTTAATTAATTAATAATTTTTCCAAAATTATAATATATACATATATAGAGAGTAATAAGAGATGTAATTTATGTGTTACTTGTTTTAACCAATGTATTAATTAATACTTTGGCTAATCATTTCATTGGAAGGTCTGCTCATGCACTATTTGCAAGGTTTGTTTTTCTGAGTTAATTATTATATGCTGACATTACTCAGCTCTTCTATACATGCATGATAGCACATGAATGTGGGTCTGTAGGGCGCGACATTTTAATACTACCAGTAGAAGGGAATAAAATGATGGTCCGGTTTCTAATAATAGAGAAATTACTGTAGCGGCTAAAGGAAGACTATATAGCCAGTATACTAGATCCCTGGGTGTTATGTTGAGTTTTGTTTGTAGGAACTGTTTCCATAATATGTCTCTTTTCTTTCCTGCCCCCATAGATTAGATGTGAACTAAATTTATCAGTTGATAAGACAGAGCAGATAAATTCACACTGACTTTTAGAATAAAATACACAAGCTGATTAAAGACATAAAAAAGAAAATATTTTGGCTGATATTTGCTCTAATTGACAATAATGTTTTAAGTTTCTGCAGATCTAATAAATGATTTCACAAAATGGAAGACTTTTATGTGCAGTACTGTCAGAATCAAATATTGGCAAGGAAACTGTATTATTGATATCACTGTAATAGTAAAGTACCTACTAGTTTGTATTATGCTGTGTACAGTGAAAAAAATTAATTGTGCTTGGAAAAATTGATTGACAGCTTAATACATTGTACAAGACAGAGCTTGATACTAAATGTAGTCCTATAGCCCTGAAAAAGTAAAATTGTCATTTGGGCAATTAAATAAAAACTTGCTTGCCTTAGCTGACCATCATAAAAGTTATAGGCAATGTTTAAAGTTTAAAAGTTAGTGTCAAGCCCTGTAAGAGGTTGTAAAATTTGTATGCAATGAAATTGAAATATTGCATTCTTCTATGGACCAATGAGGTTTTACGGGGTAACTGTGTGGAAATGGTTGTTTGATGTAGCCTTAAGGGCTGTAAGGGTGAAGGAGAGGTAAACTAGTTGGAATGTTCACAGATAGCAATGTGTTGCTAGCAAACCAGTAGTTAATTTGATTAATATCCCAGACAGCATGTGGCATTCGTCCCAGTGATGTACAGAGGCCATTGACTTTTCTAATTTATAAAATACATGCTCTCGTCATTCCCTAAGTAAGTCTGACAAATCATTATTTTCTCAGATTTATGACAAGTTTCTGAAATGCATTGATAGTTTAATAGCCAGTATTCCCCATAAACTGAAAACGTAAATGGCCTAATTTTCATATAATTAGCATAATTATTGCTTTGTTATTTACATATCTTATAAATCGCTGTAAAAGTAGGTGGGTGGACACTCTGGTGCTGCCAGCCTGACACTCCCTGTGGGGAACACTGCATTGCCAGGCAACCATATACAGTATATTTTAAATCTTATCACTTGTATTCATATTAAATGTGAATGTAGTGGAATGAACCGCTTCATCATTTCTCAGAAAAGAAATTACATAATTTGCAAATACATGTATATAGTTACTATTTTGAGTGATTTCCATTGACAAATACATTTTTCAAGATGGCCACTATCAAATGTCCTCTGTCTGCAAACTGTTTTTTTTCTCCCATTTATTTTGGCCATCAGTGAAGGCTTTCAGCAGGAATTATATTAACAGCTTACAGTAATCTTTAATCCTGTATAAAGTATGAGATACTTTCTCTGATGTCAAATCTATAGGGAACAGTGCAGTTGCTATGGTTCCACTAATTTATGTATAAACAGTTAGTCATTCAAAGAATGGTAGTAAAAAGGTTATGTTAAAAATTGCCTGAAAAAAAGATGTATAATATTTTGAATCTAGCAAATTTCTAATAAAATGGCGTTGGTGGTCTCTCCAGTAAAAAAAAAAACGTGATACAGCTAATAAGCATAACAACAATGTAATATGTTAATAATCTATTGTGTCAATTGTTATGATAAATCGGCTATAATGTAAATTCAAATCTAGAGAAGGGAAGCCCCCCCTCTACAATGTTCTGGAGAGAACCCTGAGATTCAGAGAATAAGTGAATTTGTGTTCTATACTGATAATTGTAACTTGGAAAATATTTTGCAAAGGGTGTTTCAGTTTTACTTCAACTACTCAACCAATGTGATAATTTGAAAATTTGATAAGCACTTTTTGAAAAATAAAACTAGTACAACCACCATCCTGTCATTGCACAATTTACAAAACTGGAACATTGGAACTGACCATACTGACCTC